AAAAAAGTGCAGTTGCGGTAAAAAAAATGTTGCTTATAACTAAATAGTGGATACGTATATCGTTTGAATGACAATAATTGTTCAAAATTCAAATATATTTCGACAAAATGAAACTAAAAACACAACTGAAATAGTTCTTAGTTTTTTACACATATGAAGAAGTAGTTCATTTTTTGCTATCATTAATGATAATACAGTATTTTTTAGTAAGAGTCAACAGATTTATACGATTTCTCAAATATATTTTTTTTCTCAGTGTTTTTCTTAGTTCGACTTGAGTTTATGTCGATGTATCCTTTTGTTGTTGATACGATATATAACGATTCAAATGGCAATACGGATTTAACTGAAAGAAATGATAGAAAATAAATGAGCCTTGAGTAATTTTTGTCATTTGAGTAATATTTTTTATTTTAAATTCAGACCTTGACTTAATCGACTCATTTATTATTAAAACGACAATCAAATGGAGAAATAAATCTCATCATAAGGTAGACTATACAGAGAAAATAAATGATCACATAATATATGAAAAAGTAACTGAACAACAAGGGTGTGGGTTTTGGTGTGAGTGTGCGTATGGATGTTGAATGTGGGTGTTCATTAACAAAGGGTCTACATTCACACCCACACACTCAAACATCCATCCACATCCACACTCACCCACACCCACCCGCACACCCACCCACACACCAACCCACACCCACACCTCACGCACACGCACACCTCACACCCACATCCACCCACACCCTAAAAAGAGAATAAGGAAGTAAAAGTCATCATCAGATTTTTAAGGATGGTAAGGGCTTCAGAAATCTATAACTCTAATTCTTTAGCACCTAGAACGCATAACGTAAGATCTTACTTAGACGTTAGAGTAAAGCATCCTCTACAAAATGAAACATCTCCGAGTTCTCTGAGACATTTTTCGGCTGTGATACAGAAATTTAATTGATAGTCAAAAAGTAACTCTTCTATAGAAAATAGTAAAAACACGATTTTAAGGGTTTCCATAAAATTCTTATATCTTAGGTACAAAACGTTGTAGACAATTCGAAGATGTTTCATTTTGTAGACAATTTTTTGCTCTATCATTCTCTGTAGTCTAAATGAAACTATATTTACGTACTCTAGACGCTGAAACATGAAGGTATTAGTTTTCTGAAGCCTCTACCTTTGAAAATCTAGTACTATTTTTTCATTATCTTATATTTTTATTGGAAACAATTTTCTCTACTCGAATCATAAAATCGAATATAAGAAATAATTTTTAATTTATATTGAATGTTACTATCGTGAAAAGAACATATAAAGACAAAGAATTCATATTGTGATGTGCTTCCACAAGAAAAAAGAATAAACTAACATATTTTAGGACTAGTGAAGTCAAGTGTCTTGTTTCATCGACTTTTATTTGAATGACAGTCTATTTTTTCTGTTGTTTTTTATAGGAACAGTGATATGGTTTGCACCAGAACTATGTTTTGATCGACCAGAGAGAAGTTCCTTTCAATCTGATGTATGGGCATATGGATGTATCTTGCTCGCAATCATATCACAGAAGATTCCATAGGAAGATGATTATAGCAATGATAAAGTTCTTATAAATGCATTAGCTAAACCAGAGAATGCAATTATTTTTGAAAACATTTGTCTTAGACAGAGAGCTCCGGAAAAACGACGCGCAATTCTTTGTCGCTGCAGCTCTTGGCAAAAAGCCGATCGACCTAAATTTCCCACTATAGTTCAAGAGCTCACTGCTATCTCTGATGTGGATATTCACAATATTAATCAAGGAAAAGAAAAATCACCCAGAGCGAAGTCACCCTGTTGGATCCGAAATATTCCGACAATATCCGATAGTCGGAATCCAATCGAATTCCGACTGTTGGAAACCATCAGTATCCGTTGATTTCCGACAATTTTCGATGTCGGATTTTGCCGAATTCCGACACTAGAAACTTGCCGGATGCGATGAAATCCGATGTTAGGAAACATCTATCGATACTTTATTTTATTATTATTTTACTTATTTTATTTTTTTTATTCATTTATGCTTTATTTTATCTAATTGAATGTTTGTTTGAAAGCTGTACATTTCTACACCATTTGATCATTCTTCATCTAATATCATAATAATAAAATTTCCATTAAACTTGTTTAGGTATGATATGTAACAATAACATTAGACTATATCGCCTGTAATGTGTATTCTCGTCTTCATTTTTCTTTGTTCTTTTCCTATCTATTCTTCACTCTTTTTTTCTTCTCTCTTTTAATGCTTGTCTTTTACAGATATAAAAGCGTAAAAACTAGCGGCAATAGAATAAACAAGAAACATAAAAACAGAAATAGGTTCAACAAATTTTTATTTCATCAAATGTTCGAAATAGGGCGTGGGTGGGTGTGGGTATGGTGAAAACATCAACAGCCACACCCAAATGAAAATAAAATGAAGCAGTTTCCGGAACAAAGATAAGTTAATAATGAAAAAAGTATCCGAAAAATGCGCGACACAACAAGACTGTTGACAAAAGTTAATGGTTTGACTGATTGTTTGTTTTTTTTGATTTTCGAAATCTCTTAAATTGCCCTTGAAAGAAGACATTTTTTTACGTCCATGTTACCAATGGAACTATTCCTAAATTTAGAAAGAAACTTAAACAAAATGTCATCCGACAAATAAATGCTTACCTTCACGAGATCCTTTTTTAGGTAAATAGTTTTCACCATGAAGAAAATAAATTGGATATTCAACAACAAAACCTTGGATAGTTTTCAATTCTTCTTGTGCCTTAGAAAGAAAACAACATTACTTCACACACTTTACCATACCTGGTTTATTATCGACATACTCGTAATGGATCTGTATCTCTCATATATTTTGCGTCACTGTACTTTGAACTTTGAGCAAATGTTCGAATTTGATTCGTTGGTATTGTGCCAAACACTTTTTCATAAATTTCTGTGTTCTTTCGTGCTACTTGTCGAAAATAAGTGTAAAATTCATCTGATACTGGATCAGTTATATCAATATTATTTGGATTTTCAAACTGAATACCTAACAGCATTCTAGAATTCAAAATAATCTTCTATCATAATCAACATTCTTATGTGAATTTCTGTAGACAAACTCAAAAAGCTTTTTGCGCCAACTCGAACAAAATTTTCCTACACGAACTGGTTTTCCATTGAATCGACCATCTACTTCTTCACGATCCTTTATTACAATACAAAATTCACTATCGCGATCACCTAGTAATGAACGATCATTTATATTTGCACTACCGCATATCGCCATAGAATCATCAATAATCATTAATTTCGAATGAATATATATTATTTCCGTGACCTATACCCAGATAAAAAGACTTTCTTAATTGTGTGACTGATTAAAATCATTTTTCTTACCAAACGACCCATAAGTACATCGTAATTACGCATGCCAAAAAGACTAATATAATCGCTTGGTGTAATGCCTAAAGATCAAAAGTAGAAGAACATCAAATAGTATTCTTTTTCCATGAAATTTATCATTGATTTCAAGATACTAATATTCATCGAGAGACAAACTATCTCTTCATCTGCAGAACAGATTTTTTGAACGAATAAGTAGAGAAATTATTATCATGCAAACATATTTCAGAGAATCTTACTGTGAAACTAAATTTTGATAAAACATAGAGAAGAAGTGAATTACTTTTCGTTTTTTTGAAAACATTGCTATAGATTGCATTTTTTATTCTATGAGTTTTTACTTTTATGAGTAGTGGATGACATATAAAAATTATACAGTTAGTATTTTTGAAATCTCTACTCAATTATCACTTTGGTTTTAATATCTTTTAAATCAAACAATAGTATTCGAAATTCTCTACGAAATCATGTACGATTAACCCCAAAAATTATTTGAGATACGTTTGAAAGATGAGAATAGACAAAAAACTGTAAAAAGTAACAGAATGGACAGGTAGCGTGAAGAGTTCTACAATTTGCAAAGAACAACTGATAAAAACAGAAAACAAGAATAAAAGAAGTCATCTTGTACCAAAAAAAAATATAGCATTGTCACACGGTTCAAATTTGATTGCTCTAAGTTTTGACTATTTCGATAAAAAAGGAATGGCTGTACAATAAATGTTCTTATGTACATTGTCGAGTTCTTATCGTTTCTTTTCTTGGAGCCGCTATGGCTGAATGGTTAAGTTGTTTGACACATATCCACAAGATACTGTGTTCGAACCTCGGCTCCATCAGTCATAGAATGACCTTGGACAAGTCACTAACGGCTGTTTTGTCTCGGACCACCCATCCGATAACAAATTGACTACGTTGTTGACATACACTAAATGGTCCTTGTGACTAGTATGTGGTTAGTCAGTATGTATGGGGAGCTTAAGAAATTAAGCCAGAAGAACTCTGAGTCAGGCCGGCCTTCTGTCCAGAGCTACATTTAGTAATAGATGTAGGAAAAATATCGGGCTTCTCGAAACTGTCCTCGGACAGCACCCTATACCGCAAGGTAGCCGAAAGGCGGGGTATTCTTCTTCTTCTTCTTCTTCTTTTCTTGTTATATTTTGTTTTTCTAATCGGACGAAGTAAATAATGAAAATGTAGGATGTAAAGTACGACGATTCATTACGTCCATCATGTTTTGGTTTACAGCTTTTTTCCTGTCCTCAGTTCTGAAATATATCTATAACATTTGTAGAATGTTGCCATAAATATGGTTTTCTAGAGAATTTCAAGCGCTATTGTTTGATTTAAAAGCTTTGAACCAAAGCGATAACAGAGTACAGAAGTCAAAAATGCTAACTGTATAACGCTATATACGTCACTCGTTAATTAGAATACAAACATAAAGAAAAACATTTTCAATCAAAGCTCTCTCTATATATTCTACATAAAACAAGAAAAAAAGAACTGTTGACTTACCTTCTTTCTCAAGTCGACAAAATAATGAATTACCACCTTTAGTAATCGAACGCATTATGAAAAAGAGTACAGCATGTAAAGCATTGAGACTATCAAAACCGGGGAAAAGTGGTATCACAACATAAATACGAAACTTTTCTTTCGATCTATTTAAAAAAAAAAGATTTAATTTCATACGTAAGAAAACAATTCGTACTCATGTGCTTGTTTTATACGCATAAAAAGAGCTTTAGCTAATTCATTTTTAACCAGCCTATCACCAACAATAGTAATAAAGAATTGATTCTAATTGAATAAAGAAGAATAATAATCATGAATGATAGTTTAATTTTTTTTTCTATAGATATTAATTTACTTCGATGTATATATAATGTTTAGCAGCACCAATCATTTGTATGTATGCATTTTGAATAGACTTTTCAGTTGATTTTATTCCCGATGACCACAATGAAGTAGAACGTACACACTTAATATAAAATCATAAGTGAAAATTTCCTTAAAGAATATTACTCACAAATAAATACTCACTTGAGTATCAACACAAAATGGTTCATCATCGAGAAATTCCCTCCAATTATCTACCGTTAAATCTTCGATATCACTATATGACTTTGGTAAAAGAAATGAATATGAATCATCGTTCAAATTTTTTTCGCACTTAAAAAGAAATAAAATTTGACGTTAAAAGCGGAATTTTTTTTCTCATCGAACTTTATGAATATTCCATCGTTGAATAAAATGTCTTGCAACATCACGAGCTCCTTGACCAAATACAACTAGAGCTTCATCGTGCCATGGCATACGAGGTACATGTTTTCGATCAATATTGTCTATCGATACGATCGACATAAAAATAGATGAAATCAATCAAATTACCTTCATAGGGTGCTACAGCTTTTTCAAATCCTTTTTCATAATCGTTTGCATAATCTTTTCCAATGAATAATCGATGACGTCTATCATTGTCAGAAATCATAATACTAGCTACTGACTGTTGTTCGTCGAAGCTCTCGTCACTATCAGAGTCGTCGCTGTCTTGGCTTTCTGTCTAAATTAATCAACATAGAAATTTTATTGTTTTCTGCATGAAGAAAGTTTTTTGTCTAACAATACGTCAACTATACTTTTCACGATTTATAGGCAACGGAATAAAATTAAAACTTTTTAATGCAAGTCAAAATTGACAGAGTGAAGATTTTTTAATGATATGGAAATAAAGATACTAAAATAAATGACATGATACGAATATTTCAATGAACTTAATTATCTTTCAAAACTTATATTTTACTGTCACCTGAGATAAAAATGACTTCTTTCAATTGTTTCTAGAAACATAGTTGAAGACAGTTTCATCGAATGTTTTTGAGAAGAAAGTTTCCTATTAGACAAGTTAATTCACAAATATACAAAACTAGATAGAACTGTGTGAAAATTCTTCCATAAAAATGGATCAGTTGCAGATGTAAAGAAATTAAATTTTGTTTGATTCGAAAATGAAATCTAACATTTGAAAAATTGACAGATTTTCACGAAAAACCAGAAAAGCGTTTTTATTTTAACTAAGCTGACTGTAACTTGTAGAAAACGTAAGTATTTGATGTAAGAATATTTTTAGTTCTAAAATATTACTGTAATTTGTAGAAATCATTAGATATTTGTTGCATAAAGACTACCTCGGATTTTACTATAAGTTAAAACTCGACCTGACTGGTTGACTTATTTTTCTTGTTTTATCGATAAACTAAAACTCATAATGTACGAGCCAGGGTCGATGATCCATGCTTTATCAGGAGTAATTCTAACTACAGACAATGGAGCTTTTAAAAAGTCTCTATCATAATTTATTTCGAAAACAGTATAGGCGTATGAAAATATATTTAGCAGGAAGATGCTTATCGGCTTCTCTATTTCAAAACTGGCTTTTTTAGAACATGAACTTTGCTATTTGTAGTGTTTTTTTAAATATAAATGCTTTTCGATCTCAATTAGTTTTCTGCATTTGATGTATGATGAAATTTTAGGAAGATATCATTGCTTCTCCTCCGGAAGAATCTTCATATGCTGTAAGAGATCTGGTTGTAGCCACGGGAAATATGCATCTCTAATTACGATGGTGCTTATTCAGTAATACATGACTACTGCTTCCGTTGGATATGTTGCATCTCACAATTTTCGCATAGTTGACACGGTTCTTCTATATACTGAAATAAGATGACCAGGTCAGAGAACAGTAGTTAGTGACTTTTACATTTAGATTATTTATTTTATTATTTACTTGTAAGAACTGCCGCCTTCCAGTAGCATGGCTATCTGCTCCTTGCAAATTATCTTTCCGAAGTGCAAATATAATTCCATCAGATGTTGCTGATTCATCTTCAATATTCGAAAAAAATGTGTTGTCTCCTGTATGAATTAGAACCATGGTAGACGTATTAAGCAAGCTGTGAACCGATAAAAGCAATAGACATTATGTGTCTGTGAATTGTTTTTTTTTCGATTAATAATAGAAAAAATCGTAATTTAATCATCATTAGAGATATTAAACGAGCACTATCGATAATCTTAGATAGTATCATGCAATATGGTAATAAGAAGAGCAACAGCATAATCATCCTCAAAAAATGTTTGAAAGATTAGTTTTATAATTATGTCAATAAGAGATCGTGCTTGATTCTTATTATTATTATTCATTAGTGTTGTATATATTAAATATGTGGAATATGTATTCTTACCACTATCTGATGGACTATCTGCTTCATCGTCTTCGGTTCCTATATCAGTGATAATAAACTATAGGATTGTAATAAAATATATCAAAACAAAAAGATGACTTCATATTAAATTAAAAGTTCATAAAACCAACCAATCATTTGTTTTCTTTTATAAATTAGAAATACGATTAGGTTATAAATCATAATAGATAAGCAATATCATTTTTGAAAGTTTTCGTGTATTATTCAATTTACTATAAATATGATATCAGGTTTAGTCTTACTTGCTGACGTTAATTGGTCCACTGGATATAAAGAAACAAAAATGAATATTACGTATTTATTCCAAAGAAAATAGATGAATGAAATTATTTACATTTGGTTGTCCATGATTTGCTATAAATTTGTGTTTCATTGGTAGAAGTTAAGTCAAGAGATTCAGTATCTTCATTGATTTGACTAAGAGAATGTAATGCTGTTTTCATACGATCACTACGCTACAATAAATTAAAAAATATACTAGTTACACAAAAATTAAAAATAGTTTTTCTCTTTCACGATATCTAAACTAACATGAATTAAATACATGCAATTCAACAGTGAGTTCATATGCATGATGCACTAATTGATCTCTTTTCATCAGATATCTATTTCATTGCTAGGTAAAGCGATTATGCGATAGAATATTTTCTATTCTTTTTCCTTTATTTGCTAATCTATAACCTGATAAGCATCATAAACAGAACATAATATCATGCGATACATGACTTCATATATGAGTTGTCTGGTAGACTCAAAAATAAAACACAAATGTTCTTCATTATATTATCACATCCAAATCCAAAAATCTTTTCATGTTATATCTAGATTTAAATACCATTCTTTTTTACAGATTTCCTTACCGTCATAACCAATGTATGAAGCCTGTCAGCCATTTGTCTTGTAATTTGTTGTGTTGGATTCAATTCAGATGGTAAATACAATCTAGTGATATTTTCATTGCCCAAATCGACAAGACTGAAAATATTTCATAGAATTTCATAATTACCTACTATGGAAGTACAAAACTCATTAGGTCAAAAAAAAAGATCTTTCTTTAATTTATGATAAATGATTCTCAATAATACATCTAACAACGTGTAATAATACTCATCGAAAGCAGTATTATTCGAATATTGGAATACAGTGCTTCACAAGAACGTACATATATTTAATTCCCTAACGAACATAAATTCTTAGACAGAAGTTTTATGCATTATAACTAAGTAGTGGTGAAGCCAAGAGGGGCGCGAGACTCTAACTTCAGCCAGAAAATCTAACTCCGTCACGAAATACAAAGTTTCCTTTTCTTCTTATCAAACAATAGAGTGTAAAATTTAAAGTAAGATAATTACGAACCGCATATACTCATCATCCCACCGACCATAACATAAATCTATTCCACCAACAAATGCAATCTTTTGATCGATAACAACCATTTTTTCATGATGAGACCACATGATTACTCTGTTTTTGTTATGATGATCTGGATGTCGGAGGACCTTATAAAAGTTGAGTATGTATATCATTCTTTACAAAGATTTAGAACTCACTTTAATAAATCCATTTTTATTTTTAGACATTAGTTTCTTCTTGGTATATAGACTACTTAAAGGTAAAACTCGTTTGAGCTCTTTAAAAACCATTACATAAACACGAACTCCTTTGGCCTACAATTTCCCAAAAACGAAAGGTTCAATTGATATCAGTCATAGAACAAATGAATTTCTTACAGCCACTGTGGCTAATAAATTATCCAGACGATATGTTTCGTCTTCTGTTGGTCGTATCATCAGAATTTCAGGCGACAACCACCAATCGGTTATAAAAACTTCTTCTTTTGCAGTTAGAAGTGCTCTAGCGACAGCTTTCATATATGATTTGCCATTGATAAACCTATAATAAATATTCGATATTCATATAAAATCATCTTGTTAATTTACCAATGAGCCCGTTGATTTTCTCGAATGGGCGCATAGGAATTAAAACGATTTGCATGTCGGCCAATAAAACCATATGGTTGTTCAATAAGCATCTTAAAATTTTGCATCCATTCTTCACATTCAAGTGATGTTCGACATTTAAGAACTATTTTACATTGTATATTTTTTATCTTAATTCTATAATAATTATCAATATGATGACGACTATGTGTCACTTCAAATTTACGATCAACTAATATTGGAAAAAGTATTTCATATGTATCAGGTTGCATATAAACTACATATGTATCCTTTATAACAAGCCATCTGCATATCAACAAAAGAAATTTTTCTTATTCCAAAGTTGTATTTGATGAAAGACTGTGTACGTACCTTTCTTCGTAATTATGTTTACCCAATTTCGTGATTAATGGTTGATCAAAGGGAGTACGACGACTCCGATTGTAATAATGGGATTGTTTTAATAGAGAACCTTCTTTTCGACTTGTTGATAGACCATCGACGAATGATAAACAACTTACATTGAAAAATGTACGCTAAAAAGTGAAAGAAACATCAATGCAACATGATTCTATGAGATAGAAGTTTCTCATAATAACAAAATATTGATATAAGTATGTTGAAACTGCTAGTAAAATTATGAATTCATACCGTTGCTGGATGTGTGCGAAATTTGGGATGTGTAACAACCTTATTGAGATAAGCAGCAAGATGATTCTATAAAGCAGAAAATGAAATCAGAATAGTAGAAAAAAGTTATTTTATAATTTACACAATCTTCATCAAGCATCTTTTGATTACCCAATGTTTTTTGACCAATTTTTCCTGGAAACCATGGATATCTATCGTCTTCATCTGGATTTCTATAAGAAAAGGAGACAAATTTTCTGATCAGTAAAAAATGTATAAATGATCAAAACTAAAATTATTAGTAAATAGTAATAGAACGATCGGTTTATTAGATACAAATAGAATTTATTTTACTGGAAAACATTATCTTGATCATCATTCTTTGTAGAAGAATAGGTTTTAGCAATATTAAGTGCACTAGTATAACAGAGAGAAACTTGACAAATAAGAAAGGTTCCGAAAGAATATTGAGTAGAAATCCAAAGAATTAGTGAAAAAAAATTGATAAGTTATAGGACTATTCAAGTGGATTCAGTCTTATTTGTTTTACTTTTTTTGTGAATCTTCCGTATCTTTTTCGAAGAAAATAATAACTTTTAATTTAGAGTTTTGGGGATTCTTCTCTCTCTCTCTTTTATTGCGTGCCACAGAAATGAGTGACCTTTCTTTTCTCATTAGAGATTCTAGCAATAGAATGTAAAAAAGGATCAGCTATTTAAAAATATCTCAAAGGGACTATGCTATCGAACTTGTCTTCTCTGGACAATCTAGACTATATTCACTGCCAGTAAAGGTCTGCAGTAGTAGAATAGAATCAATCAAAACAATAAATTGTTGAAAATTTCAACCCGCATCATTCACACTATGAAATATTTATTTCAACGTATCTCGTTTCTATATGTATTTATCCAATCGATGAAGAACAGCAGTGGTGGAATTAAGATTGCAGAGGGGAAGAAAGAAGCTGAACTCCTTAGTTCCTCACAGGTCTTACCACCACTGATTTCTAATATTCTGACGTACTGCTTATCTCATCTATTTTATTTATCACATACATCCTAGTCTGAGAAAAATTGCATAGGATTGACGTTGTTTTAACGGAAAAAAAAGCTGAAATTTATTATAGACAAGAAATATTTGTAAAGATGCGTTTCCTGCACATAAACTGAACAAAAATAAATATAGAAAAACGTTGAGTCTTCTTGAGAAAGAATTTTTTTTCTTCGAAAAATAAAAACTAATAAGAGATAATCGAGAATTTAAAAAAATAAACGTTTCTATGTTGTTGAATGTACTTGCATAAAACTCTTGATGTAATGAAGATTGATGCTAATCGTGCAGTGAATGAATGCAGAAAAAAAATATATATAAGGTGGCTGGTTCGCTGTATTGTGTGCAACGAACTTTGTTTATAGAGAGATACATCTCAAAACAAGAGATTACTGATCATATAGTTGCTCAAGTCTCGAATGATCATCTAATGTGGCTATTCATTAAACTAGATGATCAGTATATGCATCCGATCTGTTTATCGATCACTACGTAGTTTACAATATGTTTATTATTTTTTTCTATGGAAGAGAAACAACATATATTATTTTTTTAGTGAATAGAGTATGTCATACGTACTGTTGTAAAGCATTTATAGATTTTTCTCGTTCTGTATTAGCGAACTGCATTAATTCATTATGCAAATCATGAAAATTTCCATAACTTTTATAAATCGACCATTGAACAGAACCATGCTCGATTGTTACACAGTATCTGCAAAGAATGAATCCTATACTTTGGAGAAAATAAATGTTTTCTAACTAAACCTACAAATATGGATCAAGTAATTGTCGAAAATCTCCATGAGAATTTTCAACCGTAATAGATATAATATGAACAGGAACTTTAGGAACAAATGCTCGTCCATTACAATGATGGATATGTTCAAGAGTAAATTTATTATCTAAACAAAAAAGATAAAGAAATGAAATCAACAGAAAAAATGCTTATATATACAAACTTCTTAGAAATTGTTCTTCGATATCTTCATGAAAATTTTCATCAGGAAAAGGCAGCTGTTCCATATTTGCTCGATTCAAACGAGTAGTATGAAAGGCTACTTCAACCAAACCAAGTGTATGACCAGCCAGAATTTTCGTATTAAGTAATTTGTGACGACGTGCCATGTATTATTGTTCTTTTTTCTTGATGAATAGTACACTAACTATTAGCTTTGATCTAATCGTATGCAGCGAACATAAACAAATGAGAAAAGAGTAGAAAGATGAAAAATGATGTAGATATACCTTTCTTGCTTTTAACTAATCGAACAATATCGTAAGAGATAATAGGCTAAGTGTGCTCATCCAAACAACAGCTACCGAAAGAAAAAAAAAAAGAAACCTGTCATATTGAGTCGATAACGAGAAAGAAAAGTGCATAGTCAAGGTCTTACGTTTGTCGAACATATTTATTATTATACAAACATTAGAGAAACAAAACATACCTATAACACGTGTCTGACATTGTCTTTTCATAATCTTCGATACAAAAAGGAAAAAAAATAAACTTTAAGACTCTTGGTGACCAAATTTATCTCGACATAAAAAAGTTAACTTCTGTCAATGAAATGAAAATACTAATGTACAAGCAATATGTATATGCATTCACTAAGTATACATATCATGCTTGCAGTTCTATTTAATACAATTTAGGACATATTTAAATACACAAAGGAAAAGAAAACTTATTAATAAAAATTTCCCTGTGTCATTTTGCATTACTACAAGTATGTCTATGTGTCTTTGTTTTTTTTTACAACTTTATTGACACTGAAGCGGGTTATAACATTCCGATTGGATATTATTTTCGTTGTAGCACGACTGTGACCATCGGATATAGGCGCTGTTTTTTGCTTCATGATCAACGGACAAATATATTTATTCGATATGTATTCTACAGGGATAAAAACATTAAAGTTTAGTGCAGTTACTACAGATTTTTGAAAAACTATACATTTATTTGTTATTCGTGTAAAGATATGAAGTGTAATATATAATCATACCGTACGATCTGATCAAACAAGTATCTTTATCAGATGTTTTATTGTGAAATTCTACCCGATTTATTGAACTCATAAAATGTGTATTTTTAGAGAATGTGGATTTGGACAGATAAAACATCCATATCCATCTTCAAAAAGATAAAAGCTGAATGATAATAATCCATAGAAATTATCAACGCCAGTTAAATTTGATGTTATCAAATCTATTCTTTCTCAGAAACCATGTGCATTGATTGTCAGTTGAAATTCAAAACAATAAATAAGCATTCTCAGCCTAAACTTTCTAGAAATCGAACGATTTCATATTATCTCAGTACTAGGAAGCCCGACTGTTAACTCTCTAAAACAAGCGAAGTTATTCGCAGAATTCATTTTTTTACCGTTCATCCATCGATAATCGAAGCTCTACATTGGTTTCTTTTTCTAATTGATAGGAGTTTACTGTAAAATGCCCGGCTCATCCGATAATGATACTTCACATGAATAGCTAATATCACACGGAAACTTTACCAGTATCTAAACTTTTTAATACTTTTGTAATCATTTTCCGTCGATATTATTTGATTACATCAGCAAAAGTGAGATCTTTCTCCTTGAAAGTGTGTTCAGAGATATGACTTTTCTGTCCTGTATCTTTATTCCGTAAGTTCATTCGATTAACAACCCTTCATCATTCACAGATCGATCACGATACAGTAACTTTATTTATTTTGTTCGATGCATACCATGTTTCTGTAATGTTTCAGATACTTGCAAATGTAGAATAATCATCATCAGACATATTTATGTTAACAATAGAGAAAAATCTAAACTGGATTGTAAACGATTATTGTACTGAAAAGTTAATATGGAATATTGGTATCTATATGATAGTCTAAGTAGCTTGTAATTAGAAATTTTATGTTAAGTTTATAACTTTCATAACAGATGATTTGGAAATTTTCTACATAAGAATAAATTTACAGTTATATTTGTATTACATACTTATTAAACTATGAAAATACTCTATGATTAACTAAAATCAAGTCTATATCAGTATACAATAAATAAAATGTAGGCTACATGTAAAATGACATGATTTTAAGAAAAAAGCATCAGAGTTTTCGAAGAGACCATAAAAATGTATTCCATTTACAACTCGTAACTGGCTTCTTCAAGTTAATTGAATTGCAGCAGAGTGAAAAGTCTTGCAGCACGAAAAATTCAGGAGACAAAAAGAATTACACCATTCTACAAGTATGGATGCAAGTAAGATCTTAGAGAGTGACGAGTATAGGTGCTTTATACATGTGAATATGTGTTTTTCCGCATCAGTGCAATCATTATTCATGTTGTACAAATTCTGTTATTGCTTCGATAAAAAATATTGGACATCTAAAAACATTATGTTGGTAATGTTTGAACTGATTAGAAAAAAATTGCTCTGCCGATAATTGAAGTATACAAACACAGATTGTCTCGTCGAATACATTTCAAGGTCTTAAACATCAGAAAAGGATACTGCGAGATTTTATCGCAAATTTCCCACCTCTCAGTTTTCATTTTCAATATGACAGAACGATAGAGCTTGAAATTCTATACCTCTCTGTGTATTTAATTTTGTTTTCTATTGAACATAAAAAAAAATTTTCCAACACCACTTTGTCTTCGGGGTCTACACGTCTTTCGTAGATTTCCAGTGTTTCGGCTGATAACTGTAATGGCTATAATTTTTTTTTTCTATTTAATTTCAATGTCAAAATTAAAAACATAGATCGATGTAGTTTTTCACGCTTTACAAAACTACATATTACTCATATTTCTTAAAAGCTTTTTTTCTCGAGTTATATAGGGTTAGAATTGGATTAGATTGAGTGAAAAGTACTGTTTATGTGCATTATGGATGATTTTTCATATTTTTGCAGGATGCTTTTTGACTCGAAAATGAAGTTAGACATAAATCTCGTTATGATCGAAAATTGTGCCGTCTCACGCTCTACAAATCTATATAGTTTAAAAAAAAAATTACTCTGTCCTAAGATTCATTTTTATTGATACATTGTAAGAAGATGACTGCTTTCATAGGGAATCTTAATCTAATATCAAGTTCAGAGCGACATGAATGTCTTATTCAGAATCAGCACAAAAAACTACGATATATTATACACATTTCAGCAAAAAAAAATGCTTTACGAAAAAAGCTTATGTGAGTGATGAGAAATTAATACCCATCCACACCCTAAGTTTTTCATTTTTGTTTAAAACTGAATTTTGAATAATTTGAATTGACTTAAGTTTTAGCGAGTTGAATAGTGTGATTTGTTTCTTTAAAAATCTATTGAAGTTTAGAGAATTGTCGAGTTGGGGTGTGGCTGTTGTCGAAAAAGGAATACACGCTCACACTCACCCAAAGTTTAACTGACAGATATCAGGATATCGAGTATATCAGTATTAATCGCTAAATTTAGAAGTTAGGATCGAGCTTGTGAATGCTGAAAAGCAAAGTGTAACATAGAATGTCAACTAAACATCGCAAGGTTCTTGGCTACTTTCTCACAATGGTTGGCTTTTGCTGTTAAAAACACTGCATACGATCTCTATACTTTCTTACGTTCCGTTCCTTGACTGCTTTGCGACAGTTGAATCAGTGAAACTGACAACCCTCATAATGTCATTAGTAGACAATATGAAAAAAATTAAAAAAGAAAAAACAACGGTCACAATGAAAATAAAATATTTTTCTGTAATTTGACGTCTATTTATAATGTGCCTTATACTAGTTCACATGTTTAAAAAGAAAGTTTAAGAGAAGTAGAAATATGTCATACAATTTCAAATTATTTCAAAAAAGAGTAAAAGATACAACAATTCACATCAACATAAACATTTTCAGAGAATGAAGGGTTCACATTTTTACAAATATTGAATACATAGTAATGCAGATACATCTATCTACATATATTTTGCCATCTTCAGTACCATTACTCAAGAACTATATAAAAAGCTGTTAGCGCAATCCCTTGTGGCATTAAAACTGTGAAACACGATGGATCTGTTGTTGCTAGTTAAATGGAAATCGTTTTGTCCCATTTCTTTGCGATACATTTGTAGCTAACCGTTTATCTAATGCTTTAGAAATAGTTTCTCTGTCACGGTCTGTGGGGGGATGCAAATTCCTACTCCTAAACACTTCAACACTCCTTTCTGATCATGTTTCACAAAATAAAATATATTATATAACAAGATTGTAACGTATGCCTCGTTTTCCCGTATAATGATTTTTTAATAAGGTCAATTATACGGTGATCTGAATCAGTGCATTAGTGGATTCCTATTAAAAATGATGAAATGAGTCATTCATATCAGTTTGTAGATCGCTTCTATTTAATGTAGAACTACGTAGTGAGAAACACACATGATATATTAAATAATAAAAATATTTGAAAGAAAATAGTTATATTTTTTTGCGATATTTTTTTTAGTTATCGTTATTTTTTAGTTGATAGTTTTTTTTTCAGCCAAAAATGGTAAATCTAATATTATTGATTTACTTTTTGCATTAGATCGAAAAGAAATATGTCATGATGATGGAAAAGTCATCTTCGAATAATTCGACAGAGAAAAAGCAAGAATCAACAATAGCGTTAAATGAATGCAAAATTTGTGGCTGCGTGGCTAAATATTCGTATTTTGGTACCATTTCGTGTGATGCATGCAAAATATTTTTCCAACGCAATGCTGAGCGAAGACCGGTCAATTAAAAAAATTTTTTTTTTCTTTCAACTATATTCATTCGTTTTGTTTGTTCCTTTTAGGAAGCGTTCAAATCCGATTTTGGTGGTAATTGTGAAATCAATATAAATACTCGTCATGTATGTTCTTATTGTCGACTTGTAAAATGTTTTGCCAGTGGAATGAAAACTGAAATGATTCGATCATCTATTACAAAAAAGAATAAAAAAAGTCGACAAAGAAAATTAATCATGGATACAGCACAAACAAAAACATTAACAACTTTAGTTAGATTAAATCAGCCGGAACAGGTGAGACTATTTGATTATTAGAATTAAATATATTATCATTGTCAATATGGATTAAATCTTAAAAACTGAATTATTATTTTTCTCGCTTATTTACAAGAAGAAAAAATGACAATCAACTGGTAATGTAAAAGTTCCCGAAAAAATGTCGCTTCATTGTTCATCAGATATAATATATCCTTGAACAGTAAAAATCACCTATTCAAGATCCGTGTTGAAAGCTCTTTCCAACTGTATGTTCAGTAGTATTTTTTTTGTTCTTTTCTTCGTTGCATTCACCGTTTAATGCTTCAGAAACTTCTTACTAAATAATACAAGATTGCTTTCTATAGCATGATGAAAAAACCAAAACAACGAGGAGACACAAGACATTAGTAAAATTTGGATATGAACACATATGAAATGATGACGGTGAGAATTCCAGAACACTACCGATATAAATATGTCAAAGTCTTTGTGTCACAAACCTATAGAAAGAACGAACACGAACATCGAACAAAACAACAATATCATCAATCTGGTAAATAGGTTGAGCTGTGCGGTTAGCTTTTCTCAGTATTATCTGAAACAATGCCATAATAAATTTTGCATGATATGTCAATAATTGCATGAGGAATTTAATAATAGAAAAAAAGATCAACACTATTCAAGAGAATGGACACGATAAAGTCAAAAAACATTTTACGGCAACCATTTTGCCTTTTTTTTGACAGAACACATGTTAGTGCTGACTCTGGAAAATTTTGAAATTTTGAGTACAGAGCGATCAGAATGAGAAGAGTAACAATTGTCATAGAGTCAATATTTTGAAAACTGTGGGGTGTGGGTGTTGGCGTGGGGTGAGGCTGTGAGCGTAAAGGTTCCTTTAATTCTCACACACACCCACACCTATGCGTCAACTGTAAACGGCCAATCACTCATCTGTAAATATTGCATTCGGAATGTAAATAAATGAAAGCTATTTGACGGCAAATGCTACAGTACTGCTGATTTTTCTTTTCTTTCTTGGTGAAATCACTTAAAAGTGCCAATACATTCACTAACGATAAAAAGGAATTGCTCATAGGGTCAACACAAATGTGTTTTCTTTTCTTCATCATGATCATGCAAGAACGACACATTTTCTGTGACTTAAATACTTCAACACACTTTTCTCCAACTAATAATGCCTATTTTTTTGCGTTGTTGCACCCTTGGATTTGTTTATGATAGGAAGTCAGGCTCGCATCCAATGCCTGTTTTGCTCACGAACAATTCATTTTAGACTATTTTAAAAGGAAATAGAAAATCACAACGATTTTTCGAAGGCGTCTATAAGTCATCAGAGTCATGACTACAGAAAATTGTTTGTACTATTTAGAGTTTACATGTAATAATACGTTCTTTTCTTTTTTTTTTATTCATTTCAAAAATAATCAGACAGTTGGACAAAAAACCAAAGTAAGCAACGATCTACGTAGTCTCCTTATATGTAGAAAGAGCTCATTGGTTCTTAGATACCAGAAAAATAGTCTAGTCTTCGAATCTGAATCATAGTTACAATAATTCTTAGTAATAAAAAACATTGTGAACTTATTCTGAAAGAGCAAATGACAAAATCACTACTGCAGGTCACCTAGTCTCAAAGGAAATCATATTATCAATCTAATTAGATGTGAACAAAATAATAGTATTCATCTATTTGATAATGAGATGGATCATAAGAATAGAGTAAAAATGAACTTCTTGTTCAACTATTAGAGTCGTATCCTGTATAGCTTTTGCTTGTATTCCAGTATGCTTTGAGATTCTATATAAGTGCACTCAACTCCAGATAGGAGAGTAATTAATATAATATTGAGCTTATAAAAACGAACATGCTAAAAAAAAATTGTATCTAATTATAATATTTTTTTTTCGTCTTATTTAACTACTATTCGTGTTTCCTTTATAATAGAACCTCATACCAGTATTGATATGGCAACAGAGACTACTGAAGAAGAACGAGATGACCTTTTGGAGAACGTTATTAAATGCGCAATATGTTTAGACTATTATGGTGATCCTCGTCTGTTGCCTTGTTCGCATACATTTTGTTTGAAATGTATTAAACAAACAGCCAAGAATAATCATGGTTCATTTCCATGCCCTTTTCGTGATGGTACAACAATCCAAAATACTGATATTGATACATTACCAAGTAATCGGGTTGTTCGCGACATAGTCGAAATAGTATCGAAAAGTAAAGGTAAGACAACATAATTTGCATATTACAGTAGAATCGAAACAAAATAGAAAGATTCAAATAGGATTTCCTAATATGAAGATTTCCTCCACTCTTCGTTTATGACAATAATCAGAATTTTAGCAGTAACTAAAATTCATAGAATCATTGTTATTTTCATGACTTTTTTCAAAAATACAATTCGAATCATCCTTCTCATGTTCCCGTTCTTCATAGTAGATCAGTCTAGCAATTGATGTACACGTATTCTCTGATTCATATTCGTAGCTTTATTCGTTTTTACGCTAGTTATTATTCAGTGCTATGAATGTGAAACACAGGTTGCTGAAGTTTGGTGTAGAGATTGCCATAATAATGGCTTCTGCTCAAAATGCTATGGGGATCTTCATAAAAAACGCACATTAAAAGATCACAGACCAGGTGAACCAAGACCTCCTAAAATTTATCATTGTTCGGATCATCCGGAACGAGAATTAGAATACTGGTGTCCAGCAAATGACAAAATTTACTGTTCAAACTGCTTAGCTGACAAGAAAGATACTCACAAATGTGAATTGATTACTGATGGTATCAAAAATATAGCTGATAGAGTAAGTCTATAATTGATTCTTCCTGTTTAGTGAATCAGTTGAATTGTTTACATTAAGATGAGAAAAGCTTACATTATGCATCCGCTTTCAATCAATCCGAAGACCGAAATAGACAAAATGTTTGGCGAATATGAAAAATGTTCAAACACGAAACGGGCAAACATTGCCGAAGTATTTGCATATATGCGTAAAACGATTGATGATTGTGAAAAATCAATGAATGAAAAATTATCCGAGGTTGACGACAAAAATAAAAGACAGATTATAGAATATGAAAGTAGAATCGTAAGCAAATGGCAAAGTTACCGAGAAAAGCGGTTGTTATTCAAACAAACTATGGATGCAGGAGACTATGTACAGGTTTTGCGAGATTACAAAAGTCACGAAGAATACTTGATTCAGATGAAACAAGAATGGTCTACATTGAAGACTCCTACGATGGTTGAATACAACATTCAAGGACTAGATGAATGCCGAACTATATTAAAACAAGTAATTGCAAAAGTCTCTGTCGTAGAACAACCACCATATGAGAATGCACAACTTGAATTATGCATTGCTCAGCAAGAAACAAATTCGATTTTAAACTTAAATAATCAAAGATTGAATGATTCTGACATGACGATTGTTGCCCAAGCACTTCGCATTAATCAGGTATGAATTGTCTTTTTTCTTATGTTTTTTCCAATAGTTACTTATCATCATCGAACTGTCTTCGTCTGAATGTATCAATTATTAGATATTTTTATCAAGTAGTTCGAATTTAGAAGTTCAAAACTTGAATAGAAGATACATATACTATTTTTAACTCTAGATGATTGACTTCACTACAATTATTACAACCTAAAAAAGGTTCTACCAAATAGATTCTGTAGCACATTACTTACATACTTGAATCAGATGCCTTCCTTTTACGACTGTAGTCAGGAGACAAAGTGCTCATTATTCCTTCATAAAATCAAAGTATTCGACTTCTTGTCATAATATCAGTAATTGCAGGTTGCAGATTTATTTTTGTTCGATAATGAAATGATTATTTAAGAAGCAAATCGCAACAAACTAACAGTTTGAAAATTTCACTATTTTCCATTATATCTATCAAAATTTATAGAGAAAATACCGACAATGTGTCGCAAAATGAGATTAGTAAAAACGCTTTGTCTCACTTCTGCAAAGTCATTTGATTTATTTCGAGAGTATTTAGATAAAAGATAGCTTACAAGGTAGCGTTCATCCTACGGATTCGCTGACCCTTTTCTAAAACAAAACATTAAACATTTCCAGAGAATTTTTCAACAAAAACATTTGTAATTTTAGTGTATACATCAGATATTTTTATGAATAAATTCATAACTTATTTCTTCATCAAGATAAGTGAATAGCACCATCATTTTTATGCCTCGATCTTCAGCATCAGTGTGGATGTTTACGGGAATGCAGAGAAGACTATCATCCGTCCCTACTCATCCAACACTCCTGGCCGATACTCATCCCATTCAGCGGTTTTTTGAAAAGCTACGGTTCTCACACTTCATTCGAAAATACTTCTTAAATTTTTTTACCAATTCTGGTTCTCATTGCAATCGACAAGATCTAGACCGTAGACATTTTCCTCATGCGTTGCAACAGCCTGAAGCGTTCCTTCAGTGAATTTTCAAGAGCAGCGTCTAGTCGATTGTCGACGCCACTCCTGGTTACCCGCTGCCATTCTTTATTCTATTCAATCAAATAGATCACTTTCTTCGAATTATACCGATACCCTTTCCAACTTCGCTTAGTTCGAAAGTCATTATATTCATAACACGAGCATTCTCAATGAGAAATTCCAAATGGAAACTCTGTTGTAAACTATTCCTTGTGTCTTTGACACCATTGCCTAACTAGCCAATCAGAGTTTCATTGACATTCCTCATCAAAGGAATCTTAGTGCAGTATCTAAAAACCTTTAGCCTTAATATAGATCTTTTCTGAAGCGAGTCTACAGTAAACTTGCAATAGGAGCGACTGGTGCACCGCTGGGGCGCTAATCACAATCACGGTTAGTGGTTCCATGATTTTAAACCACTTCGACAATAGATGGTTGTTTCCTATTAACCATGAAGATGTGATCT